AAAAAAAAACTTCTTACATACACCTAGGCCGCGTTCACAGTTCGAATCTGTGGCCGTATCCTATCCCTTCCCTATGCTAGGGGAACAAAGAATTCCTTTAAATTTTCTTCGCCCTTCCAACAAAAATCGCCCTGAGAAACTGCATATTTGTAATGCATAATGTGTGTGAAAGCAAACAAATAAAGAAAGTAAGGAAACTGTATCGCTGAGAACAAACAAATTCAGAGGACTTTCGCTCCACTAGCCTGCGGGGAGGATAGGAGAAGGCCCCTGGATATTAGAACAGTACGCGACAACGACAAGATATGTGTTGACAGGAAGACAAGGATAGTAGTAGATTTGGATAGTAGGAGAATAGGATAGGGCCGAGAAGATTGAATACGTATCGATCAAAATTTGGGACTTGCCTAAAGACGCTAAATTCACTACAGTTCAGCGATTTTAATCGATACACAAATAATACATTAAGCGGAATCTCCTACTCTACTATTATCCAAATATTTTATCGCATCCTATCCTAATCCTCATCTCTCAAGTCGCGAGCCATGAAGGCACAGCCCGCACCGTGCACGCAGTCCACCGAGCCGCACGCGCCGCTACAACAACAGGTGACCAATACTGTGGGATGGTGCGTTGCGGCGCGACTGGCTTCGCTGAACAGTGCCAGGCAGTGTTTCAATTACAGAGACAAAATTTCTAAGTTGAGACAAGGAAGCTGCACCTTTCGAAGTTTACGTGCCAAAAGCCTCACGGAAAAATGGTATAAAATTCCCACCAATGAAAACAAGGCACCTAGGGATTGATTTCGTTTCCGGAAGAGTCAACATAAAAAACGGACTGACTGGCGAAATGACACTATTGAACATAATATTGCCATCACATGAAAAAGCCCTTCATCACTATTTCAATTATGCTAGTGGCTACATTTAGAAACAGATCCAATTTTGGCTAAGAGGATCACAGAGTATGAAGAACAATTAAACAAGCGAAATGATTGCAACGAAAGGTAAAACACGGCTATCAGCACCTCGATTTAGATCAGACTTATAATACTCAAAAATTGACCCAAAACAGGAAAACGAAACTGAATCAATAAAAAATCCTGAGAAAAACCTAGCGGTATAAGTAAGATCATTTTGGAGGCATTGTCAGTAGGATCTACTAATAGCAACAAGTAATACTGAAATCATCCTCACTTCTCGAGAAGACACATCCACAACGTCAGACAGTATGCGATTCATAACCTAAATTGATCAAAATAATATCCTTTTCACTTTATACATAGAGTGAATAAAGCAACAACGCCAGACCATATGGGTGGGGTAACAGCGGTCCATAAAATCGTGGATAAGGGGTTAATTGAAAATGGAAAACGAAGCAAAGCAAACTGTCGATGAAACTCTCAAAGAAGGATCCCCTCTCTTCCCATTGAATCGGGAGTGGTTTTCCGGACGAGTTGTTTGAACTTGCTTGTTTCATAACTCCACTAACCCACAACTATTTGAAAGCTGCTACGTGGTAATCCAAGTTGCTCATGGGGTGTGCGAGAGATATCTCATATTACCCTAGTGCTTATAAGCTCTTTTTGGACGGTCCCAGCGCCATTGTAGCGCACTTTCAAGTAGCGATATCAGCACAACTGTGATACTATCTGTAGTTGTTGCTTCAAACAAAACGGTTCATGGCACATTTACGAAAAATCCTAGTCTCAAACACTGCAAATGTTGCGTTGCCCAAGCACATCGACCAACATCAAAAGCAAACACAACTTGAAACAAATGGCTGCGCATAGCAACGTTTCAACTTTGTTCTTGAAAAAATATTTCATCAGATGACTGCAGTTTCTAGAAAAAAAAAACCAATCCACTAGCTACGTACCTTTGTTACGTCTTTCATGATCGAGTCTTCAGGGGTCGTAGATGGAGTGAGTGCTTTCGGAGAAGACTCTCGAGGCAGCTCTAGAGATGTGGATGAGCGACGACTACGTGATGCCTACAAAATGAATCACTATTTCCAACCCGCCCATAAAGTGTCCTGTCAGCAAATGGTGTTGAAATCACCTCATTCAAACCAGGTAATAAAATATCGTCATCTCTATAACGAGCCGGTAGTTTGCGTTTTCTTCGCTCCTGAAAAACGCAATCATGTTCAGATGCGTCGGAGATGCTACACTTTGGTAGCTCAGTTTGGCCATTGGAATTGCTGCAGAGCGGCTTCGTCACCGGAAAACAAATTACTTTGGCGGGACGGGAGTTGCTACTCTAGAAACGAATTGAACTGCATCAGAATTACATATAAAAAAAGTCGTTCACAACTAAGATACTCACCCTCAGACTCATCGAGCTATGCCTCTCTTCTCCACTGTCTTGAGTAGCTGGAGGTGTACTGCTCTGCCGACCTTTCTTGGTTTTAGTTTGCTTATGTTCATGTTGACTGTCTTCTTGTGCACTTTCGAACCAAGGAGCAACAGAGCAGCCAGCAACGACTTCCATGCTCTCTTCTTTGATTTCTACCATTTCCTGATCTTTGTTATTACTTTCTTCAAGTGGTGAAATATTGCAGTTGTCAGCGTCATGCAAACCAGTCTAAACGAGGTTATCAAAGTTAACAGCACAGTGAAAAATCTGGAACGTAACGCTACCCCATCCAATTCGCGCTGATCACGAACCGCTCCGCTACACTCTGGACTCAGACTTCGAGAACGCACGCCTTCACCAGGCAAGCACTAAAACTACGGCATTACAGATATGAATCGGAAAAAAGCAAAAGCCACCAATTCAGTGAATTCATGCTAAAAAAAATTGAACCATTTCAAGATTTAATCAGTTGGTGAAAAACATGGAGCTTCTGTGCAATTCCTATATTTCTGGTGGAGTCAAGAAGGAGGGACTCATTCTATTTATCACCCCACAATTACCGTAACACCACTACTACAACATATGGGTGGGGTTCGCTAGGACAGAAAGCGACAATTCCGCTTTCCGCTCTAATCTTTTTTTTTCATTACGAGATCCTCAAGCCCAGTCATGATTAAGGGCGGATCTGGGGTTCCCACAATGAAAAAAGCTTAGCGCCGCGGGATGCGAAAATGCTGCTTTCTGTTCTAGCGAACCACACCCATAATTTAAACTACTCCTTCTCGGTGTACTCAATATATGTTGCAAATAAAATGAGAAAAACGTACCAATTTCAATTTTTTCGATCTTTTCTTTGTTTGGTATTCATCTGCCTCCTTTTTTCGATATGCGATATGCTCAGACTTTATATCACAATGTTTCTTCTTTATGTGAGAATAAAAGAACTTCCACCTCAAAATGAAGATCTGATTTAATACAAAAATTAGAGTCACTAGGAATCACTCACGTTGTGAACTTCTTATAGCACATAAGACATGGTATAGCCTTCCATTCTTTTCTCTTTTGTGATGTTTGACAGACATATGATATGCTAATGCCTGCATACTCCCAAATGGAGCAATCTCAGCACACGACGCGTAGAGGCAGCGCCCAAGAGTAGGTTCCACATCGTCTGGGAGATACTTCATTAGGCGCTCAACACACTCCACCTGAAATGTATAGGCAGGTGAAGCCGTTTGGATGACATCTTCAAGTTTACTTCGCACGAGCAACAAGAATGCGCAAAGTGAAGCTCATTGGACATGGCAGCCATGATCTTTAACTGGGCCACAATAGAACCGACGCTTGACACAACATTTGCTCTGCGATACATACTCTTGTCGTTTCTGTGATAGGGTTTTTGGATCTCTCCGCTCTGGAAACTAGAGTTCAAAGAAACTCTGGTTAGGGGTGAGGGGGTGTTCGGTGTTCAATTTAAACCAGCTGCACTCTTCAGTTGAAACCAACCCGCACGGGTCAACCTGTTCTATTATCATCAGACTTGGATCTTTGACTGCATAGATGATAGAGGTATATGCTTTTGGATGTTTATAACTTAACCTGAAGATTCCTCCTAATCACAGGAGTGGGGAACGACTTCATTATACTTCTTTGCGATAACACTTGTAGACACTGGTTGAGAATGTAGCTAATGCAAAAGAGAGGCAAACGTTCTATGTCAGAAACTCTCACGAAGCACAGCACAGTGAAGCACAAGTGCGGACTGACCAGAAGAGGGCAAAAAATATATCTAATTCAGCAAACCATGCTCCGCTCTACAGGTGTATTTTCGAGATAACCAACGGGAACCTCTCCCTATTACCATAGCTAGGTATATTCTAATCAATGGCAAATTACTAATGGTGGAATTCCAAAACTACTACATCTCCAAGAAAATCTCTCCATGACGGTGCAAAATCATACATTTCGGGGATGATGCATGCGGGATCTAAAGCTCACAGAATACCTCGTCCACCTTACAGCGCGGATTGGTCTTCTCCTGACTGTCACCTATCTGCCATCTATCATATAGCTTCAGTCATAACACGGACAAGAATACAACCCCCAGAAGAACCTCGGAACCTCGCTGCCATTTTAGCTCAAAATCGCAGCATTGTGAGAGCCAGGCCTCCCTTCTTTTAATTGGTCGTGACAATAGATCCCTACTTATGACAGTTCATATATGATGATAGATCTTATTCGTTGTTAGAACAAAATCGATGACCCAAAAACAACTTCAAAATCGATGGCCAAAACTATGTTGATCACTCAGTACAAGAATGTGGTGCCAGTGTCGTCAGGTCCACAATCATTGTGCAGAGAGCCCATAAAGAAAACACCCCCCCCCCTCCACTTGCCCCCTAGGACAACACTTTATGGGGGAATAGGAGAGTGTGAAAGCAATTTACATTTTCCACGGAATTTCCACCCTCCTCCTAGGCTCAGTCCGCACAATAAAGCCCCATCCGACGACACCACCACCGAAAATCTTTAACTGGTGCAAAGTAAATCAACGGAGAAATTCAGTCCTATTAACTCACATCGTAATTCTAGAAAAGCCACTAATCATGCTCAGACCGACGTCATAGTCGGCGACGGACCAAGCGATGGAGCGATCGCGATCGCTCCATCGCTTGTCCGTCGCTTGCCAATCGCTCTCGGTCGAGCGATTGGCAAGCGATTGCGCAATCGCTTGCACACAAGCGACGGGCGATTGGCCCCGCCCCCAGTCGATGCAGTCGGCTGCGGTATCGATCGAGCAGAGCCATCGCCCGTCGCTTGTGCACTTTGCAAGCGATTGCGCAATCGACAAGCGATGAGCGATCGCGATCGCTCCATCGCTTGTCCGTCGCCGAGAGTGACGGCAGGTCTCAT